CCACACACACACACACACACACACACACACACAGCAACCACAACAACAACAAAACCAACAACAACAACAACAACAAACAAACACTAGCAACAAACAAACACCAACAACAACAAACAACAATAACAACGTTCATCGTCAGACACGGCACGTGTGTCTCTGTAGAGCGACAGACTGGTTTTCGTGACAGGGATCGATTTGGTGACACCTTGAGAGCGCCTGGAGTTGACTCCCCTTGTGTACAGCAGAGAAGTTGTGGCTTCCACATAGCTCCAAGCTACACTTCTCGTATTGATTTTAAGATTTCATTTCGAAATATAGCTTCCAACAAAATAGAAATAGACCAAAATAGAAAAAAAATTAAAAATTAAAGAATCAATTTAGAAGCGTCAAAAACAGTCTGTTCTAAACACCTACTGGTACTTTGTGGCCTCCCGTGATATTTTTCTTTGTTGTGTCGTGTAACCACTTCTTCTCCTACAAACAAGTACTAGTTTTTTCTTGTGTCAGAGAAAGGAAACAGCTGTACCTAGGCTACTATGATAATAATAGCGCACAAATTGCTACCCCAGAATGACAAAGTTTTATCTGCTCAGTACCTAGTTTTCAGAAATCTAACGTCAAAGATTGTTGAGGTTTCACATCATGTCAAGCTTTTACGAAAGCAATTCTTGGAAAATCTTGATAACGATCCCAAATAATTTTACGATTTTGATAGAGCAGATAGAACATTTGGTTTCTGGCGTCATGGTCTTGGTAGCTCAAAACAGCCAAAATTTTCAGACAGAACTTTATAATTTTGAGGTAGCGAAATAGCTGACACTGGTATTTTAAGGGAGTAACGTATAATATTTATCATTACTACACACTAAATAAGTTCGAAGCAAATATTTGAAAAAGACACCAGAGGTGTGGGTGGAAGGTGGGGGCGGGGTTGGGGTGGAGGGGGGATTCATTTTTCCATTTGAGAAGCGAGGAAACAAACCGAACTGAACACTGAACAGCACCGGCGGCAACGTTTATACCTTTCTACCTCAAAGCACTAAAAATAGATGAATGTTCTATTCTAAGGATGGCGTGTATCCCACACAGACGTTTCTGTCATTCAATTTTGGCCCTCAAGACACTTGCAGAGCGGCGGTTCTAAACAGAATACGGCCTATTTATAACGGAGCTTTAGTAAGGAAGAAAACTGCTACCGTTGTGTACCTTTTTTTTAAACAGACTTCGACATAAGTTAAGGACCACCCAGAGTGATCTTCTTGGGTCAACATGCACGTGGGCCTTCTTGGACTGATCTAGTGGCTTGATGGCGCTGCTTCAGGTGGACAATAACAGAATGTGACACTGTAAGCCTTCTGGCAACTTTTCGGGCTCCAGCTTCCTGCAGCCATGCCATAGCTCTGACACGATCAAAGTCTCTCAGATTTCGTCTTGGTGGCATGTTGATGCAATACTGGATTTTTCGCAAACAGCGGCTTATATTGCCACCAAAGTGAGCACAGTTCGAGACCGTACGTCCGTTTATGACGTGCACCCAAAAGTTTAACTGAGTAATGTCTGTGGTGTCGCATACAAGTCGATAAAAAGCAGCAAATTTGACTAAAATTCCCAGAGGATTTCCGTGCTGCACATGGTGGTTTTGCCCATTTTGGAAGCTTTCCAGTACTCATTGGTAACCCATTACACTTTCAGAGCAAATAATTTTGAAACATTCCTTTCTATCTTTTTTTATTTCGGATTTTCAAAAAACAAGGGCTGTCTGTCAAGGTGGTCCTTAACTTTTTTTGAAGTCTGTGTATAAGGTTCTTCTGTGTGTTTGTTTCTCTTGTAAGTTCCCCTATCAGATAGATGTGGTACCATCATATCAGTACACTGACCTTTTCAACACTGAAAGAGTGTTTAAAGGGCAGTACACACGAATTTAATGCCCTTAGGACCTAACTAAATAGATGGGGAGCATTGAAAACTCCAAAAGCAACCCTAGTTCAAGAACACACATTTGGCGATTCGAGCGAAGACCATCAGCACTATAGCCCAGCAAGATGTCAACTGAACAAGGACGCTCCTTTTCTTTTCTCGGAAATCATACCATGACAATTATCCTGGAGAACAAAAGTGTATAACATAGAGTAGATCCTTGTCATTCTCTGGAGCTCAAAATAGCCAAAAGTTGAAGGTCCATCTCAAGCTTGACTCTGTTTGATTTGAAATCGCTCCTTCGGTCAGCTCACTCCACACAAAAAGTTGAAATAAAGCCTTCCTTCGAAGATTGTGTTTTGCTTTAGTTTGTTTGTTTGTTTGATTGATAGTTTGTTTGTTTGTTTCTCTGTTTCTTTTTTTTTTTTTGGGGGGGGGGGGGTTTAAAGAAATATAGTGTAGTGTGAATGTCGTTTTTATCCAGAATCGTGTCTCAGGTTTCTAAAAAAATAGCGGGATCTTTTTTTCCTTTTTTTCTGTTTTTAGTTATTGTAGTTGTTGTTGTTGTTGTTGTTGTTGTTTTCGTTTGGGGGGTTTTCTTGTTCTTTAAAATTACTTTTCATTTTTAGTACCTCTATGCCCATTCATCAACATAATTGTACCCCTCGTTTTCTATTTAAATAACAAATAGTAAAATTATAATCAAATTTTGGAAAACAGCAGCATGATAGACATTATGGCCTTATCTGTCACAGAAAAAGACCTGAAACTATTTTTTTAAGTGTCTATGTCTTTTATTCTCCACTTTCTTTTCTTCTTTCTCACATCCGCTCTCACTACAGGACATACCAGGCCAGGCCTTCAAACTATATATGTGTGACCAGCGGACGTTAACTACGATCGTAATTGTACACGGTTGTAAAATGTTTAAGCCCCCATCGACAAGAGTCAGATCTTTTGGTGGCGGGCATATTTATTCGACCCATGGGCCAACGCGGCTAAGTGGGACACGGTATTCTAGTTGGGTTTTTTATACGAAGAAACACCATAGAATATACTCAGACAAGGAAATCGAACCCGCATATTTTACTTACAGTGGCCTTGCACCTTGCCATTACGTCACAGATACTGATGATTTCAATTGTAAAAACAACAATAATAACAACAACAACAACAACAACAACAACAACAACAACAACAACAACAACAACAGTAACATCGGACCCAATTTGTCCAATGTGCTGCGAGGAGCCCCAAGATTTGGAACATGGGCTGCATAGATGCCCAGCTATGTAGGTCCGGCGGGGGCAATTCTTTAGGAAAGATTCAGGGAGGTTGGACTGCCTCACCTGCTACCCAAGAGAGGCGGTGGCCCTGGCAAAGAACACGCTCTTCGGGGCTCCAAACATTTCGAACAGATAGGCTACCATACATACCACAACAACAATAACAACAACAACAACAACAACAACAACAACAAGTCAAAAACGAAACAAAACTCAAAAAACACCAAAAAAAAGACAGTGAGGCGGGTGGAGTGGGCGTGGGTGGGTGGGGGTTGGTGATAGTCAGAACAATATTCTGCTTTATGATCACTCTCTCGTGTAGAACAGAGAGTAACGATACGGTAACAACCAACAACTACCTGCATTTGGTCCGTGTCGAAGGCCACTTCCTGCGCCTCCATCTCCTGGAGCACCCCGAGCACTGCGCTCACCACATTCTGACGTACAATCTCTCTGTACAGGGCCTTCTCTTTGTCCGGGAACCCCTTCTCGTGGATCATTCTGGGTGAAGAATTAATGGGTGAGGTGGAAGTTAGAAGGTGGAAGCGGGGGTGAGGGGAGAAACCTTTGTAATAATTGTCAGAGATT